AACGCTTGACGAGTATGCGGCCAGTGATCTTCAACGGTGTTTAGTGGGCGCTTACTCAGCCCAGATGTCAGCGCATCTTGGTACACATTCAGAACATCTGGCTTCACCAGCTGGCTAGTGTCAATCCGTTCACATCGAAGTTGCGGACGTCCACCGAAACGCACCAGGAGGTCGGCACATACAAGTGCGTGGTCAGAGTCCACGCTCGTGCTCCAAATCGAGCGACAGTTTTGGACACAGCCTCTCCAGCGGTAACTGATCGCGGTATGATCGATTTGTGTCCATGACTGGCCTGAGGCTGGTGGCCGCCAAGTCACACTTCTGCGGGTGCTGTGTCGAAAATTAGTGCTCGCGAGAAAGAGGCGAGCATCTTCACACAGCTGGAGCAATCGCTCACCATTATCATTACGGGAGCCTACACCATGTTGGCCGCCCAGATGAAGCTCATCAGAGGACAATTTTCCGACCTGGGCGTTTAGATCGCCAGCCAGCACCACAGTATCCGTGCTTCTTCTGTAACGAAGGAGCTCGTGAAGTTGCTGATAGAAATCATCTTTTACCGAATCAGTGCTACAGTTTGTAGGGGCGTAGGCCGCAATGACAAACAGGCACCGTTTGTCCCCGCGCGACTTCGAAGCACGGAAGGAACCAGCTAATCTAACGGCGCACATCCTACTGTTTACTGGGATCCAATCAATCAGGGCAGCTTCAGCCCGGGGACTCAAAACAATGCCGACGCCAGCTTGACCGGCATTTGAAGCTGCATCATCGCCAGATAGGCGCAATGAGAATGTGTCGCCAGTGTCGCATGTGGGGGATCTCAGGGTAAGCACGGAGCTCGAATCTTGCAGGCGGGTTTCTGATAAACAGCAAACATCGATCGATAGGGTCTCTAGTGTGCGGGCAAGTGCTGCCTGTTTGGCCAATCTGCAACAAAGTGCGCACGTTGAGGCATGCCAATCTTAGCGAGACACGAGGACTCCAAAGGGAAACGGATGAACTGACGTTGTCCGCTTAGTTGAACATGGACTTGTCGACTGGATTGGAGCGAGGCCCTGCGATTGTGTGTGATTTGAAATTAGAAGACAAGCGACTACTGAAGAAAGCTGGGGGAGGGCCAAGAATTGGGGGATTGAAAATGGGGGGATATAAGTAAAGTTGGAGCGGGACAGTAAGGATGCAGAAGCGCAAGAAGGGGTATAAGAAGACGGGAAGGTTTGAGCAGTTGCATCCAAACCCTTATCCACCCTGCTCGATGCAGCAGATAGGGCGCCGTTTATTATCCTCTGCGACGGCCAGAGCATCAAGAAACTGTTTTAGGAAAGGTTCATTGTATTGCGTGGGCAGAATACTGTCAGGTTGCCCAGGCCTAGACAGGAGAACGATTAGGGTTCTCAACCAAAGCCTTTGGTTCAGAAACCTTACCGCAAGGCAGCGGGTTTTGGCACTGGACTACAGAGCCCGTTTTATGAAATGAGGAGCCACCCCCATTCCAACCCCCAACCTGGAGGACCAGGAGGCTGAGTTTGTCTGGCCTCTAACCATTGACCAATCTGGTATGAGTGGCTCTAAAGGTGCAAAAAAAGCACCACCCAGCATAGCTCAATGGATCTCTGAGGCACGCAAACCATCGCACCACGGTAAGGTCCAGCCTCATTGATCTGCATCTACGCCAACTGACCAAATTGACTCTCATGACTCAGAACCACTCTAGTGCATTTTACACACATTTTTGAGCAGCAAGACACAATCCTTAAAAATCATCACATCACATCTGGAAGCGCTGATAAAATAAGCATCCAGTCCCCAAATCAGGCCAAACAAAAGCTCGAGTTGGGTAATGATAAAGAAAATGCGACTACATGCCGAATATGCACACCATATTACAGGATTCCAGCAACTCCGTGTTTGACTCAGTACAAATAGACAACACAGAATTGAATGAGATAAATAACCAACTCGCTGAAAGGAACAAAATGCGGTCACTGCATCGATGACTACATATTGGAGATTAACACCTTTTGACTCACATCCGCCTTATCTTTATGGTATGCCAAAAGTTCACAAACCTAACATCCCACGACGTCCGGTGAATCGGTGTGCCTGGGTCTGCTACAAGGTCACCCAAATGACTTGCGGAATTTCTCGAGCCACTACTCCAAGTATTGTCCATTTACACTGTGAGTGACACCTTTGCATATATACAACAGGCGAAAAACCCAAATGCGATAGAAAATTTAATGTAGTATCTCTCTTCATCAACGTTCTTTTGTTGGAAGCGGTTCCTTTCATCTGTGAGTACCTGACAGAGAGCAATCTTGTTATTCGTATCCCTGTTCGAAATGTGAAAGATCTGATTCTGCGTTGCATATTCGACGGGCAGCTCCTATTTGCTGTAACATACTGTCGGCGGATATTGAGTTCATGAAGTTGTAGAGAGCAGAAAGGAAATTCTGTCAGCCCTATCGATTCCGTGTCATACTGGGTTTGATGTGTGTCGTTGCGTTACGAAGTTCCTCGAGAGTTCGTCGCAATTGCAGTGATAGCCGCAGGATTCCAGCATTCTCAGGAAGTGTTTGTCTAGCAGCCGCTTAAAACTCCTCGGATGATGCGTCTACATTTTCTTCCGGTAGGTCGTTCCAACTATTTACCACTCTAGTGGACATGGTGACGTCCATGCGAATTCTGTGTCTTCTTTGCTTAAATAGTTTCCATGTGTGACCTCGTGTGGAGCAATCAATGTTGGGCCAAAAGAATTGTTGTAACTCACTCCCAAGTTCCCTTCGGATGATGCGCCTAGTGTAGATGAGATCACCCCGGTGACAGCGGATCTCCAGGGAGAACAGGTTTAGTTGCTGACGTCGAATGGGGTACGGAAGCTCACCAAGCCCCAGAACAGCTTCTGACACACGTCTCTGAACCTTTTGTAGCAGAGCGCATTCAAACCTTGAAAGCGGATGGATGGCTGGCATGGCTATATTCTAGGACTGGACGGACGTACGAAGTGAACGAAGGTCGAAAAATCTCAGGAGTCATTCGAGCAAACGATCTTCTTAATGCACTCACCAGTCTCCTTCCAGTGGACACCTTCTTCAACGTGTCCTGCGTCGTTCTAAGGTCAGAAGTCACGATAACCCCAAGATCTCTCTCGTGGGTGGTATTCCTGAGGAGAAACCCACCAGTGTGGCATGCACCGTACGGTTCAGTGTTACCCATTGGGAGGACAGCGCGTTTGTCTCGGTTTACTAGCAGTTCCTACTTGATGGACCATTCGTGTAGCTGGTCTAGATCCCCTTATACTCTGTCCGCATCTTCAAGGCTGGATACTGTTGACCATAGCTTGAGGTCATCGGCATAGATCAAGCAGTCGGTTTGAAGTGCAATCGGCAGATCGTTAATGTACAGTCGGAATAGCTCTGTTCCAAGCACCGATCCTTGGGGAATGTCACTAGTCATAGGCACTGGAGCAGAGAGGGTTTTGGTTCACGTGTATACGCATGGTCCTACCTCAAGCAATCGGCAATCCAGGAGAGAAGCTTTCCTGTAATGCCAATTCCATGTAGTGTATGTAACAGTCGCACGTGTGGAACTTTATCATAGGCTTTACAGAACTCAATGAATATTACTTCAACCTGTTCTCGGACATCTGTGGCTTCTGTACATGTTTCCCTGGCGATGTGTTAGAGATGTATGATCATGCTCTCCGGAGGGCATGTTTAGCGGATGAAATCATGTTTAGGTTCACACAATGTACCTGGAGGGCGCACGTGACTATTCGTTCACACTGGTTTTGCACACGACCGATGTCAGGCATATTGCTCGGTAGTTCGCTGGATCTTGGTTTCCTCCCTTCTATTTGCGCAGGACCGTACCTGCTTTCCAGTTTTTGGGTAGGCAGCCGACTTCGAGGGATTGCCGAAATACTTGACAGAGAGGGACGGTGGCGTACTCAGCTATCGTTTTGAACAAGCTGGGATGCAATTTCTCCAGGCCTGGGAAGGAATTCGGGTCCAGTTCGAGGAGTAGCTCAGTGACTCCCTCGGGCTTGCTTTCAACTTGATCCATAGAGGAGTAGTGTGCAGGCAAACAGTTGTTAAGCAGCGGAGATTCCACTGAGTAGACCGAGGAATATTGCGCACCAGTAGGTTTACTTTTTCATCATCGCCGTCGAGAACGGTACCTTCCTTAGAAGAGGATAGAGCGGGAATTCCACTATCCGTTTTGCCATTTCGCTTCAGGTTGGCAAAAGCTTTTTTTCGACAGTTTTGGGATTCCATGGCCAATCCATGTAGTCTTTTGTCTCGTTTATCAGGGTGCATAGGTTTCTGCTACTTTTGTATTCTAAGTAGCTTGATGTCAGTCCTGTGATCTTGAACTAGTCCCATAGTTTCCGTCGTTTTTTCATTAAGAATCTCGTTTTTTTAATCATTCTATTGGGATCCTTTTGGTGGTGGTTTGTTCCTGCAGTTTGGAACAAACTGTTCAATTAGCCACATCATCATAGATCGTAGGCGTTCCTATACCTCATCAAGCTCCAAGAATTTCAGAATACTCCAGTCCATGTTACTTACACCCGTTCTTAATTTGCGTTGGTCAGTGCACTAGAAATTTCGACGCAGTGTCCCCTGATCGTGGATTGTGAGATGTCGTGTCCACAAAAAGGAGACTACAATGATCACTCTTCCCAAGAGGTTAGAGGATCGTTAGATCTGAGACAGTAGATGGGGTCGAGGTGAGAACCAGCTCTAGATTGTTTGCTGTCTGACCAGGGACCACCCGTGTTTGTGTCAAGACATGCTGTGTCAGGTAGCACTCGTGAACGGTATCAAGGAGATCCACTTCAAAGGAGTCAGATGGGAGATCACAGTGAACAAGGTCCCAGATTATGCCGGGGACGTTGAAGTCACTCTTTGCTGTTGGTTCGCACGGAGCGTAAAAGGTGTGAGCCAGGTCCTGCAGGGGCTATGTAGACCACTCCGACCATCAGCGATTGGTATCCGTCATGAATTCGACATCAGCATTTCTGACATATCATCTTTGTCACAATCGGGTTCGACAATGTAGGCCTTGAGATAGTTCTTTGTGTAGAAGATTACTCCGCCTCCAGACCTCCCACCAAAGCGATCGCATCGAAGTAGCTGATATCCTGAAACATGAACCTCCGAGTCAGATATATCAGATGACAGCCAGGTTTCGGTGAACGCTATTAGGTCCGGTTGCTGTTCAAAGATAAGAAGTGGAATCTCATCTAGCTTATTTCTAAGAGTACGCACATTCGCGAGTATTACCCGTAGTCCGTTCTTTATGTTTGAGGTCCTGGAAGAAGGAGGATGGGCCTCCATCGAGTTCTGAGTTTTTCTGACTACTTAAAAAGACACTATGTGATCTCTCCCCATTTGCTCGTCTGGTTCGCAGCTCGCAGACAGATTGTCTCATTCGAGCCCGGTCCTCCGGGGGAGGTCTTTCAGAGCGTAGCAGGTTTCTCCCTTGAGGCACGGGGTCCGTCTCAGGATGCGTTGGCATTCTTCTTCATCCTGACAGACGATTTTCAGAGGACGAAACTTGACTGGGTCCTCTTGTTTTCTGCCAAGGCGAAAATCAGTGATTAGGTTTTTCCCTTGCTCACCCTCATCAAACAATATGGAGAGCGTTCGTTTAAGGAAGGCTTGGTTGTCGAGTGTCCTTTCAGCTGGAGTCTCTTTGGTGGGTTCTGGGACGTTTGCTTATCAAACAGCGCTTGCGTGCAGGCGGCTTGTTTCGTTCCGGTGATACTGACTTGTGGGCATTTCTTTTCTTTAACCAGTTGCTCAAGCTGCGCTACTCTATTTAGCACGAGCTTTAGTTCCGCGTTTTTCGTGTTTGATTTCACCTTGGGCCGTGGGGACATCTTCTTCGAGGTTTCGTTCTCAGATATGGTTATCTTCGCTTTTGTTGAGGTGCTGGCGCTCACGACTGCGGCATAGAACTTGGGTTTATCCATCAGTCTATTCCCGTTCTCACTGGGCAACGGTATTAAGTCCCACGTTGTGGAGGACGCCCGGCTTCTTTTCCCTTTCGGTGTAGAATGCCCGGACCAGGGCAGACATAGTGGCGAGATAGGTGTCTATGTAGTCGCGATGGATCGCCCTTAGGATCGCTGCTTGCGGATTATTTCCTCGCATAAGTTGAACGTAGGCCTATCAGACACCTAATCATATCCCTTGATTATTACCAACTTGTTGAGTACTGACTCTTGAATACGTCAGGTTCTAACAATGTGATACCAACTCTCCTAGTCGGATGAACGAACGAGACTCAGAAGTATTTTCTCGCAAAGCACTGTAACTAACAATCTCGAAGTCTGTGGGTTCTCGGAACTTAGCCGCGAAAGATTAATTCACGCAAGTCGAACGGGTTCCTAGACCGAACGCAGTTTCTACGCACGATTCCCCAACCCAAGACTGAATCAAGAACAAGACTGACTTTTTGCCACAGGCGCTTTTACTGGCCAAAGCTAAGGCGATTCTAGCGTTGTACAGCCTCATTTTTATATCACGAAACGGTGATGAAGGTGGGTTTTCCCTTGGAAGGGTTTGCGTAAGCAAACCCTGGAAACAAGAAACATGGCTTTATGTAAATATGCAAAGTTCGTAAACTGAGCAGAAACGTTGGAAGTTTGGCGGGAGTTGTCCGGAAAAATAAATGTTGCTTGGATACAACAATGCGTGTTTGGTTGGAAACAAGACTGTTTCTGGGTGCAAAGGCTAAACAATGTGAATGTTTCACGAGTTGGAAGTCTGATTGGACGTGTGCGTTTTGTCTGATCTGAGTACATGTGCACTTGAGTGAATCGGGTTTTCAGCCTTCCGTAATTTAACCCTTTAATAATTATAGGGACGTTGCGTCCCCATAACACAACTATACGTCCATCATTTGTGACTCCCATACTTATCATTACCACCCGTTGAATCATTTTAACGACGCGATCCCGTCGTCGAAATTCATCTGTGAGATTGAGGCGGATGGTAAGCTGCCCTTTCTGATGTTTTCTGTCCACGAGAGGATGGATAACTTGAGAGTAGTTTCTTCCGGAAGATAAACTGGGTAGATCAGTGCATGCATTACCACAGTTTCATACCAATGAAGTATAAGCACAACTTAGTACGTTGTTTGTACTGCCGGACTGCAAGGATTTGCAGCCAAGAGACATTGGAAGCTGAACAAGCATTTCCTACTCAAGACACTGGAAAGCAACGGGTACCCAACTGTTTTCATCAAAAAGCATTCCCATCTCCGAGCTGAATCTGACACGAGAATGACGTGAGAAAGAAAGACGTTTTCCTCTCAGTACCTTGCAAAAGCAACATCCGGTTCGAGCTCTTGAGTAGGAAATTGGCTTCCGTGTTTAGCCAAACGTACAAGGCCGCCTGAGTCTGCATTCACGCCGAAACCGCTCCGCTCATTACCCACGGCCTAAAAGACAGAATTCCGACCCATTCCGAATCGTTTGTGCCACCTTGGTACACTCGACCCTGTGGTGCGAAGTATCTCGGACACGCGACCAGATGTTGGTCAAGGCGGATAGCGGAACACTGTCGAGTCCCAATACAACGTGGTACGACTAGGAATGTCCACTACTCCATACTAGAACACCTAGTAGACAAGGGACATGAAGTACACACGAAAACTGCTTTCAACATAACGTATGTTGCATCAAAACGCTTCCCAAATGGACTCAGAAAGCGCTGTAACAGTATGGAGACTCCCCCGGTTTGTCTATGTCGTGTAAAATACTTAATAAAATTACCACCTTATTTCACACTTAGAGGTTGTTTCCACAATGCTGAAGTGTACAATAAAACCTCCGTAAATTGGCCACCCAAAGGACTGGACGAAACGGGTCAACATAGCGAGGTGGTCAAACTACGGATGTTCTATGCCAAAAGCCCTGCGTAACCTACTTTCCCCTTGTGAGTAGTATAGTATGGAATTTATTTTTACACAAACCCGTTTTGAACACATTAGACGTGCTCTCACCTAACGGCAAACGCAGTTCAACCAAACAGTGTTATAATAAATCAAAACCCAGTGTGCATTTTGCAAGTTAGATCGTTATTTGAAGAAAACAATCTTTGTTTCTTGCTCTTCTCACCAAGGGAACTGAAGAAAGCACTCTCAGCACAAACTACATTTCTCCAAAGCAAATGATTTCAGTTGCATTAAAAGATGTCTGACTTCATCTTCCTTTTGAGTTTCTGTGATGTCCAAATCATCGTCACTCAGTCCTTCTTCATCAGCGAAATCAAATGTTTGTTCCTGTAGGGGAGTACTACCGTCAGTATACCTTGGGAAATATCATCTAAGTCTGGTTCAGTGCAAGTTGCCAACTCATCATCCATTTCAGCAAACTCTAAAACCTATCTAGTCGAATTCCTCCCATTGTGATGGAAGCTCTAGTAAGGCGACAGCATCTCGCTCGACAGATTGATTAAATCCGGCTTTTCCGCAACACTTTTGTATAATTTCTGTTTGAACTTTAAACCAAACGGAACTTATCCTAGTCCCAACATCCAAAGCATTAATCGGAGCAACAGATGAAATTCATTCCGAATTTGAATCAATAGTATGCAATTTGTCACAACCCATCGCCATGAGGCTGGACCTTACCGTGGTGCGATGGTTTGTGTGCCTCAGCGATCCATTGAGCTATGCTCGGTGGTGCTTTTGCACCTTCAGAGCCACTCATACCAGATTGGTCAATGGTTAGAGGCCAGACAAACTCAGCCTCCTGGTCCTTCAGGTTGGAGGTTGCAATGAGGATGGCACCTTATTCCTTAAAGCGAGTTCCTTGTAGCCCAGTGCCAAACCCGCTGCCTTGCAGACAGGTTTTTGAACCAAAGGCTTTGGTTGAGAACCCTAATCGTTCTCCTGTCTATGCCTGGGCAAACTGACAGTATCCTGCCCACGCAATACAATGAATCTTATCTCAAACAAATTGCTGATGCTCTGGCCGTCGCAGAGGATAATCAACGGTGCCCTATCTGCTGCATCGAGCAGGGTGGATAGGGGTTTGGATGCTACTGCTCAAGCCTTCCCGTCTTCTTATTCTCTCTCTTACGCTTTTTTCACTCTTATCGTCCCGTTCCAACTTCACTTTTATCCCCCCCCCCAATTTTCAACCCCCCGATTCTTGGCCCTCCCCTAACATGCTTTGCTAGGCATTTATCTTCTAATTTCAACTCACATGTGAACGCGGAGCGTCACTCCCCTCTTGTCGACAAGCCCATATCTAGCAAGCGGTCCATTCCAGTTCATCGGCTTTCATTTGGAGCCCACGATCCTCCTTCAGATTGGCATGCCTCAATGTACGCACGTTGCTACAGATCGATCAACAGGCAGCAATTTCCCGAACATTGGAGGCCCTCTCGATCGGCATATGCTGCTTATCAGAGACCCGCCTGCAGGACTCGAGCTCTGTGCTCACTCTGCGGTCCCCTTCAGGTGACGCAAGCAGTATTTTCTCATTGCGTCTATCCGGTGACGATGCAGCTTCGAGCACCGGCCGAGCTGGTGTTGGCATTGCCCTGAGTCCCCGGGCTGAAGCTACTCTGGTTGATTGGATTCCAATTAGTAGCCGGATGTGTGTGGTCCCATTGGCTGGCTCGTTCAAAGCTTCGAAGTCGCGCGGGACTAATAGATGTCTATTCATCATCGCTGCCTACGCACCCACAAACTGTAGCGATGCTCCGGTAAAGAACGACTTTTACCGCCAACTGACTCAGCTCCTTCGCCACAGAAGAAGCACGGACACTGTTGTGCTGGCTAGGGATCTGAACGCGCAAGTTGGAAAGTTGTCCGCTGATGAAATGCATTTGGGCGGTCAACACGGTGTAGGCTCCCGTAATAATAACGGAGAGCGGTTACTTCATTTGTGTGAAGATGCTCGCTTATTTCTTGCGAGCGCTAATTTCTGACGCAGCACCTGCCGGAGGGTGACTTGGCGCCCACCAGCCTCGAACCAGTTTTGGACGCAAATCGATCACATTGCGATAAGTTATCGATGGAGAGGCTGCGTCCAGAACTGTCGCTCGATTTGGAGCACATGTGTGGACACCGATCATGCACCTGTATGTGCTGACATGCGGATTCTTCTTGGCGGACGCCCACGACGACGCTGTGAGCGCATTGACACCAGCCAAATTGCGAAGCCAGCTGTTCTGAATGCGTATCGAGGTACGCTGACATGCGAGTGGAGTAATCGCTCACTGAAGACAATTGATGGTCACTGGTCACATGTTCACCAGACCTTATTACCAGCAAGCAAATCCTCATGTGGTATGTCTAATAGCCAACATGGTTATTGGGTCTCTTCGCAGTCTCTAGTACTTATCGATGCTCGCCGGCATATCCCGGCTGGAAGTGAACACAATGAAACTCGCAAAGAGCTCCGGGCAAGACTTCGTGCTAGCCTGAAGAGAGACCGCGAATCTTGGTGGTCTCATCGTGCTTCAGAGACGGAAGTGGCCGCTGCCCTTGGCAACTATCGTGAGTTATTCCGTCTGATACGGGAAACGGGCAACAGGAGACCTGGTGTTAGTGAAACAATTTGTGATGAGAGTGGACAGCCTATCCACAATTTGTCGGAACGTTTGGAGCGTTAGGCTGAGCATTTTGAAAATCAATTTAGTCGGCTAGGATTGTTCGATTATTCGCCAGCCAGTGATCGCCCTGCTCCGTGGGCTGTCCCTTTGGATCCACCCTCTCGCTCAGAAGTCGAACGTGAGATCGGACTGTTGAAGTTGAACAAAACCGCGGGACCAGATGATCTTCCTCCAGCCCTTTTCAAATTCGGAGGCTCTGCTCTTGTTGATGCTTTACTTGAATTACTAGTGAAACTGTGGGAGCACGAGACTGTCCCAAGCGACTGGAGCCGCTCTGTTATTGTTCCCATCTTCAAAAGTGGCTCGCGTTCGGGATGCGGCATCCATAGAGGAATCAGTCGGATCTCCATCGCCTCCAAATTACTCGCTTCCATAATCCTTCACACACAGAAACCATCGTACCACGACAAAGTCCAGCCTCATTGAGATGGAGTGTCACCTATCAAAATACATTCACTTATCTACGGGGCGACAGGATCCACTGCACTTTGGCGACCCGACCACATTGCTCATATAAATTAAATTGAACTGAAGGAATTACTACCGCGCTTATCCACTTTTTGAGGGATCTTAAATGTTAGTTTTGGAATTCCTGATGTGTTATTTTCGCTAGCATCGGTACGCACTATCTACAGACTCCTCCACTACCCGCCATAACCCAGCTATCTTAGCCTCATCGGTTTTTCATGGATCCATGTTCGATATAGACGGCGACTGAGTACAGTCCTCGTTTCTGAACTCCGTATGTATGTTGCCAATTATTATATGGGGCTTCATTCGGAGTTCTGCTTCATTGATGGGGTTTCAGTACTTCCGTGGCTTACGACTCTCATTACCACTAGGGTTTTAGTGAATGTTTAAACTGTGCAGCCGCTCTCCCCTTAGAACCTCCAGCATCCCATGTTGCCAACATAGTTCTTGTTTCCTAATGGCAGCAACACATTCCGATTCGTAATTATTAAGTGAAACGCAGGATGCCGTAAATGCGAGATCATCTTTAACTACGTATCCAACCTTCCGGGGTAAGTTTCTCACGTTGTCTTCTTCTTAGGGGCTAAACTGTTCGCTGCATCTGTGTAACGCTTGCTCCGGTTTATGTATTAAGGTTCCTAAAGTGCGAATCTCTCTGCTTATACTGGCATCTCACGACAACATAGTGACCACTTTGTCTCGCTATTCTATCGAATTTTACCAATTGTTTTATGTCGATTTGCTCAATTTATCAGTGTTGCTTCTTTGATACAACTTTTTTAATCAACAAAACTTTCTGTACATGGATGAATTACAAGTGCAGGTATATAACGTTTTTTAAAAAGTCTGGTAAATGCTTGTTCAGGTGCGTATTTCGATGATCTGCCTTGTGATGTGCTGTGGAGCGTCAGTCCTAGTCTGCACGGGAGTGCTTTTGTTGTGTGTGTGTTGTGTGCACGTAATGGTTGAGTATTGATAAAATGAAATACACGCCTCCACACCTCCGGCACAGATTTTCGCTTGATTTAAACCGGCTTCGCTTCTAAAAACAAGCGGAAAGATGTATAGATAAGTATATTGATCTCAGTCCACATTCTCTTCTGGCTACTGTAAGTGTGCACAGTGAACGAACTCGTAACAATATGGACATGCTGTCTAGCCGCCTATTGTTTGCTTAATGCGCGTTTACTGTCTGACCACAAGTGCTTGAGAGCTAGCGGTTGCCACCCAGTGAAAGCGGCCCTCATTTTGCGTGCCGTGCTGTTCTGTGAACTAAGCGTTACGTTACCTTTCCTTCGCATGACTTGGCTTTCCGGGCTATGTGCTGTACGCATACAATACACAAGTGAGCATTGCTGAAATATACAAAACCAGTTGGAGAGGTCATCTTGAAGCACTTGTTGTGTGAATGGATTGCGTCGCGCAGTCTCAATGTGGTTCGCGATTCACATTCACATTAACCTTGGTCAGTTCGACCACTGAGATTATAAGTGAGCCAGATGGATATTGGGTGTTGCCCAACGGAGGACACTGCATCATACGACAGGTTTCGAGCTTATTTCATCCCATCAGATATATATACCAGACACTTGAACCCGGGGTCTTTGGGATGTCCACCGAAATCACTACTCTTAAGCCGCCACTCGGTGGTTTAGGGGTAGAAGGTCCGCTGGACATCCCAAAGACCCCCATTTCGAATGTCTACTATCTCAAAATGAGAAGAAGCAAGTTTGAGACCAGTCTAGAGTGCAATGTTTTCAGGCGAGAAACATCCGATTTCCATCCCTTTTCAGAATTACTACATTCGACTTTGTGCTTGGACACCAGCGTCACGGCTTTGACTCACCTTCTATTCTACAGCTTTTTGTCGTTCGCATCGTGCCCATCGGTTCAATGTATTCCTCAGGTTGAGCAGTGGTTGAGTCCACAAAGGGTGACCATTTCCTCTTCAGTGGTTGATTCCCATTCCATAGCTGCTTCTGATCGGTTTGAGACAGAAGTTGCTGATTTTCCGTTGGTTGATGTATGTCTTTGTGTGAGGATGCCGTATTTGAGTTTCCGTCCCATAATTTGTTCTGAAATGGATTTTTAATATAGTTAAAGAAGTCAGTGAAAAGGCATCCCAACGCTGAAGCGCCTTATCGCCCCATTTCCATTCTGAAAGTAAAGCCAAATGTATACGTCCAGTCAAAGTGTCGATATTGGTGAACGAAGTAAATCAGTTGCTTTTGGGCTTCCAAGACCCACTGGGCTATGCCTTCATATGTCTATACCAAGTGTCACCAAACTATCGCCCGTGGCCGGATGTGGCCCGCGAGTGCACGGCATCCGGCCCGCCAACTGTACCCGATTTCGTTTGCTAAACTGTGTAAAACACCAGGTGATGTAATGCAATTTACATCCAACACGGCTTATAGTGTTGTCTGTGACCGTATATTGTTCGCAAATAGAAATTTTAAAGCTTTGACAGCTACGAAATTCTCATGCTGTGTTGTTTCAGTTGGCCGTACACTTATGTCAATTGTGCAGCTACTTACTGTTGGGGTAGTCGGCTAATTGTATAATAAGGTCAAGTTCACTGGGTGGGTAAGACCATCAGTGGATCTGTAGCCATTTTTCCAAAGTGGAGGGTTCCTAGTGTGGCAATGACCCGATATTAGTGAGTGTTCGTTCGTCTGCACACTTGTGCATCACTTCGGCAATCAGTTACCGCTTAAGTACCCATGGATCTGCTTTTATTTAAGGCTCGTAGATGCATGTTAATCCTGCGTTTCAACATAGTATTTACGCTTCACTTCCAAGTGTTTGGTAAGCTTGAAATACCAAGTGACCCTACGGCCCTGATATGACCTGCCAACAAGCATTGCACACGCATTGTAAGCATAGGGTTTGGAGCAATTTTCCTCCTTCAACAATGCCTCCGAAATTACCTACTTTCCAATAATAAAATGTTTCCGAATAGTTGCTAAGTCCATGACAACTTGTGTCACCGCGTGCACACATGACTGCTTCTAAGACTATCTGAAACAGTGGTCTATAGCAAGATTAGTGGGCTCGGTTGCCTTGGTAAATGTTTGCAAACACATTGTAGGAACGCCCGTGGGTGAGACAACAGTGTTTGTCTGTTCCAAGTGCTCACTTGAATTACCAGAGTAAACTGCGTGCGTCGCCACTAATTATTGGCCTTTGTGTTTTTTCTAGCAGGACGACGCAGTATGTATAAATACAGTACACATTGTAGCCCCTTTAGGTGTTGCTTTGTTGCGTAAAGTTGATTTCATGAGGATAGCATTCCGGTCCATGGACGTAATAGGGAGGTTCCATCTGCATTGACTGTGCTCTGAATGGTGCCATTCGCAGTGCCACTTTTCAAAGCGTCTCAACACTTGTGGGCGACCATAAGGAAGTGAAGCCTAATTATCCTATGAATACATAGGTTTCTATAATATTTAAATAACGCCATACATGGAAACACTGAAGCGATAACTGATTAACAAAGGCGCCCATGGGTCTGGAGACAAACGAACACTCACTACCATCGTATCAACGCCACACTTGGGATCCTATTAGTTTGTTTTTAGTCATCGACTGTGATAGAAGTAAGCACCCATAGAACTTTCGTTATTCAGCATCAGGTTGGTCAACCAACTTCAATGGGGATAATGTCCCCCATGGCCGTCACAATAACAATCGCACCAAATTGTCTAACCGCCTAGCAGCCATTGCTGATTCAGGTTAGGGTGTGCAATGTCCAAGGCGCGACGCATGCCTGACCAGTCGGAAATGCAGGCATGCCTAACTCCTTCAGACCTCAGCGACTGCAGAATACCAGTTAGAAGATTGCCTGTCTACGCCACCATGGTTAAGCCGCTGAATAAGCCACCACCACGTAGCTGCTAGCGATCACTCAGTATAGGCCGCTTCATGTGCTGGTTAGTATGTCTGTCCGCACTGGTTACGGATCATGTGGTAGCTAGGATCTCCTCCTTAGACAAGCATCACAAGTTGCCCATTGGACGGTTTCAGTTTGGAGACCAAGCATCGAGGTTTCCTTCAGATGGGCATCAAGACAGAACAGAAAGTGTTGCTCGACCACTTTCATTGGACTGCCTGTTGCTTATGCTAGGGGCTTCCAACCGGTGTCTTATTGGCTAACGTCCCATGACCAATGAGCGTGTCAGCGACACCAGAACAGCGTTCTTAGCCTCGCTAACTTGAAAACACAGCACGCGATTTCGAAAAGGTGTCACCCTAAGAGCTTGGTACCGTGAGCTGACATGTCTGTAAAATGGTATAATAGCAGAATGAACACCTAATATCAAGTCTTCTTTGTCTTGTTTCTCATTTTATGTTCCAATTTTCAACTACTGTCCATCATGATTATGCGGTACGCGCCAATCCTTTTGTCAGTTATGTGGCCTGCGCAACTTGTTTTTTCCGGTGATCCGGTCCGCGCCAGCCATTTTGCTAGTCATCCAGCCCGCCGTGTACAAAGTTTTCTGACCCCTGGTCTACACCACCACGCTCACCAGATCGTCGATGCTCCGAAGCTGAGCCAATTCAATTTCGATACTTTTAATGGCTTGGTGTTATTCATTTATGCCTTATCAAGAACTGACACTAGGTCCTACTAGGCGTGGGGTACCTCCACAAGTGCGAAAACCACTTACATCAAGTGAGGGAACTCTTGGTTGCGCAGAAGCTTGTATGTAACCAGCCACAAATTTAGTTCGTCGTGTTTTTGCTTATTCCCTTACATACCTTAGGCTGCATACCATGCGCCGGGTGCGGTCATCAGCGTGGCCCAGAAAATCCCACCTTCAACATCGATTGACCACTTTGACTAGGTTCATCACAACCAGCCATCTACCACATCGCAACGGTTTCGCTAGTAGTACTCGTCCTCCAAGTCCCACCGCGTACAAATCCATGACGGCGATTGGGCGCCATCATTGATTATTAATCTAAGGACTCATAACCACTTATCAGGTAATGACAATACGGATCTCTGCGGTGACCCTTCGGCACAAACACACTTCCGTTTGATCAAGTCATAGTCTAGTCAACATGAATAGATGCGTGTTTAAAGCAGCGTGTCATCTAAACTCTACCAGTTGGGCCATCATGTACTGGGTACCACCACTTTCAGGTGGGTGTATATTGTGTTTGTCGGACTTCCACCAATATGCCATAAGAAAGCTCTTTGTCATGGCATATCTTCCAAATCGGAGAAATTAAAATGGTAAGTAGGTCTTTTCCTAGCCAATCACTGTACCTGAAGCAACAAGGAGAATCTAAGAAAACAAAATTGTTTCATGGCGGTGGCAGGAATCGAGCACCTCATGCTATGCGTTAAGAAGAATTGAGTCTTCTGTTAGTTCACATTAACTTGAAGTTTGGACTACCAATTATTAGTTGAGTTATTCTGGTGGTGCTGCTTTTCATCTGAGAAATCAGCGTAAGCGTTCCCGTAAATCGATGTGTCGTTGGTATTTCTTTAGCTCTATTATTCCAAGCAACAAATGGACCATCCTTCGATGCTTTGTTATCATTAACCGTAGTTATGGCTTATCCACTGTACTTTATAGTGCAGTGGAAACATGGCAACAGCCTCGGTTCTTGCTCTCCCTCTTTCATCAAAGTTATTTATGGGAATAAGAGGCTTTTTGGATACCGCCGCACTAATACTCTTCAGAAGTATGCTGCTCTTAAATGTATTAGTGTGGATCACACTTCTTACTGTTAACTCGGCCGAAACATACTACATGCGGAAGTGTTTTCGGTATTGTCCCGATTTGCGGTGTTTCCAAGCCGTGTACAAGTTTTCCGCCTCCTATGTCCATTAATCTACAGAAAACTCAGATCTATAACCACAGGGCTACATTCGCCTTCAAAAAATCAGCCAAGTCAACAGTGCGCTTTATGAACCCACGAACAGTGAATATTCAGCAGCAACACACACACACACTAAGAGCACAACTAAAGATATGACAAATATATATGGTGCGTTACCAGTTTAAGAAGGTGGTAGTGGCGATAGCATCGATTCAGTCTAGTGATAAGGGCTTGTTTTTTGCTACACCTTGATCCCTCAGAAGAGGTGACAAATCGGGAACAACTGGCGTACTCTAAGCCTGTTTGCGAGCATAAATGGCTTTACAGAGAAGTAGGAGGAGGAGTTAGATGGCGTAGCTAGAAATTCCTCACATCTGGACTCACTCAGCCAGCCATCACACGCCCAGAAGAGCACTGTACGCGAGTTTCATCCTTCCGGGAATCGTCAGCAGTGCGCATTCCACCGGACCCTGGTAGGGCTCGAACCCGCAACTCGGCTGTTGCCAGTTCGAGGTTGAGACCACTGAACTACGGGGCACGGCAACAACCATCGTAAATAAGTTACTAGATGTGATATAGCACCGCTCACTATCCACTGAAGTACACGTTATTGCCGTGCAGAGGAGAAGGTAGCCCCCTCACCAAGCGACGAGCTTACCAAACTTAAGCTGCCAATTAACCTACGGCATTATAAGCAGTTTGGTCTGTGTACTGATTACAGAAGAGTAGTAGGGTAGTTGATTATTATAGGTAGAAGTCCGTCACATCTAGACGCAGTCAGACAGTCCTAGCACGCCCGGAAAAGCACTGTACGCGCTTTTCATCCTTTCGGGAATCGTCAGCAATGCGCAGTCCATCGGGCCCTGGTAGGTCTCGAACCCACAACTCGACGGTTGGCAGTCCGTGGTTGAGGCCACTGAGCTACGGGGGACGGCAACGCCCATCGTGAATAAGTTACTCATATGTAACGAATTTCTACCTATAAATGGCTGTACACCTTCGTCTGCTCGAATAGGTGCCAATCAATCATAGGCGCACCCCAAGTCAGTTGACGGAGTAGCGACGCGTAGTCAAACGACTTGCTTTAGTCGCCTATAGAAACTAGGTTGCTTCCTTCTCCCTTCTGTCACTTCTATGCACGTCTGGTACGCCAGTGGAATTCACCTTGATTTTAATTCTAACTACGAATACTACTGAATACATGACAACAACTGTTTTGCTTCATTCTGACTTTGTGCTC